GCTGCTGGCATGGGGATCAGGTACAAGAAGGACTGCCCTTAGGAGTGCTTGTAGTCATTAGTGCCTACCTCTACCCTTCACGTTTTTGACTATTCTACCCTTTGCAAGCATTTTACTGTTTTCTTTCTTTGGTATTATGTCTCTACTGACACATAAATCATTTGAGGAGTCAAGAGAGCAGTGACAGCTGGGTTAGCTTATGAAGTCTATCACATTAAAGGAGATGGCAGGGATGTGTCACTCTGAATATTTTTCTCTCTGACACTTCATAGCTCCCATCACAGGCAGGTCCATTGGTAATTTTGTTTGGTTGCTTGCTTGATTGGTTTTTGCTTCTGAAGAGAAAAATATTCCATTCAATGTCTGGAATCAATGCTTTAGAAATATGAATTAGAAGTTAATTTTTTCCCCTTGAGGTTCAGTTCATTTGAGACGTCTCTAAAATGGCTTCCATGGATAGCATTCAGCTTTAGATCAAATGTCATATACTATGGAGGAATCATGTCACAGGTTGAAGACCCTGGAAAATAATAGCCTTAAGGGAAGCTGGAGAGAGAGGAATTCCCATTCTCACTTTACCAAAACTGTTAGGAGAATTGTTGAATGAAGAATCCAATTTCATGTTGTCTATATAAAAGGTATCCCAATTGTCTCCCTCGCTGGTCATCTTTAGATAAGATGACATGGAGAGGCAAGAGATGTTTGTTAACAGCTTTTAATTGTTTATTTTATTTTTATTTTTTGTAAATAGTTATACTTTTCTTCTCATGAGGATGAATGGGCATTCGCTTTCCCTGATGTAACTCAGTAGACAGTCCCATAGACTGAGATTTAAATACACAAGGGGATCCTCGTACCAAGGCACATCCCCACTGACAAATACAGATTGGACCTCCCTCATCCAGCACCCTCGGGACCTGACAGGTCCTGAACAAGACCAGGGGAGGTCCCTCTGAATATGGCCCATGCTGTCCTGCTGCCCCAGGCTAGGGCTCCAGCCTAGCCCCCTGCTGCCTGCCCTGATGTGGCAGTTGGAGCTCTACGGCCAGGGATAGAGCTCTGCAGTCAGGGCCAGAACTCCACAGCCGGGGAGATCAGCCACTGCTGGAGCTCTGTCGCTATCACTGCAATCCCTGAATTCCATGGCTGCTGCTGCTATTCCCTGTCCCCCACCACCTGGCTACAGGGGCCAGAGCTCTCTGCTGTGCCACCCGCCCCTCTGAGCCCTCTCCCCTGGCTCCTGGCTGAGTCTCCCTCCCCCCACACTACTCCTGCCCTGCAGCCTGACCTCCCTATACCAGGGTTTAGTGGACCAGGAACATCTGTGATCCTGCTGGACCATGCATGTTGCCAGACCAAAGTCCTGGTTAAGGGTGGTACAACTTGCATTTTCTTTCAGCAGGGCACAGAGGAACTTCCTCCCCTCCCTCCCTCTCCCCCCCTTGCCCAGGACTGGAGCCTGAAAGATGAGTTTGATAAAACAGAAATGTAATTTGCTTTCATTGTTGTTGTTTTACTCCTGAAAAACGATTTATTCATGGAACCATGGAACTTAGATTACAAAGGAGTCTGTTATTTTGCACTATCAAATTGCTTATACAATTACCATCAGGTGCCTGAGGATCATGTTGGCTTTGGGTTTACAAAACCTTTCATAGTGTATTGGAAAACAATAAATGCTTCCCCTCCTTGGACAGCATATACACGCAGCAGCAATGGCCATTATTCACAGTGGGAAAGGCTCCCACAGCATAGGGGACCTCCTCAGTGCTTGTCAGTTTGGCAAACCCCTTTCAGAGCCAAAGGGGCAACTCCCCAAGGCAGGTAGAGACAGAAGATCCTTGCCATTCCTTCAGGCAAAGTTGTCCACCCCTCGGCACCCTTCCCATTGGCTTAGACAGATTTCCATCCCCTTGGGTTCAACCAGTCACAAGGCTCCATACCCCCTCCCATCCACTTTATTGGTCAAGTGAGCACACGGCAGTCTTCCCCATCTCTGATACACCAGGTAACAAGTTTGACTCCCTTTTTCATCAGGCCCATTTCCCAGGTTACTGTTCTACAGTTCATTAATGTATATTTCATAACCATATATTGTCTTTGCATGATGTTCCTTTCTACATAATTAGAAGAGAGTTAATATTAGCCATGGAGAGCAAAGCACCCTTAAATCAATGGTGTTGTTCAGAAATTATACCAAACTACACAAATAAGGAAAGTTTCTGCCTCTGTGTTGGTTTCTTGACTGCATTGGGTCCTAATTCTCAGGTCTAAGGCTGCCTTGTGCCACTTGTGTAGTAGAAAACACATGCAGATAGGCTAGCCAGCCAGCTGGGGATTCCCAAGTCACAAGGGGATATCCATGTGACACTCTGTGCAGCTTGTGTAGGAATGTGGCAGGGAGCATTGCCAAGAGGTTGCTGCGCTCCAGCAATCTTTTGGAGCCCTAGCAGCCAGCTGTAATTCAGACCAGAAGTGAAGTTTCGCAAATGGTGAGCTGTCCTGAAATCACCCACAGCTTCAGGGTTACGAGCATTAACCACCCTTCCCATTCTTCCTTGGTCTTTCAGCAAAATAACTGAGGACCCTTCAACTATCACCAGAGCAAGACTTAAAATAGTCTGCCTTTGTTTTTTAATCTGGAAGCAAAGCTGTTTTAGAGCTCTCTGGCAAAGCTAGAATCCCAAGGAGCCATTTAAGGAAAACACCCCGATCATTCGGTACAAGCTACCAAAAGCAGAGTGAAATACAGCTACTCATTTGGTACATCACTGAAGCAACTAGGTATTTCTATACTGTGCAAATGAGATGAATGTTAGCTGTTTGCTTCATAAATGTATGTCTAATAGAAATGTGGTGTTGGTCTCTGGATTCTTCCTCTTCCCCAGAAACAGACAGAATGGGAAAGAGCAGGGAGCCAGCCACAAAAGTCCTGGCTTTCCAGTTTTCATTTATAAAACACTAAGCAGACGAGCTCAGTGCTGTGAGCCTATCCCATCAATTAAAATACACCATGAAATACATGTTCATGCATGTGGAAATTAGGTTGCACATACCAGTATTACATAAACAAACTACTCCCAGCATAATATTTGAGAACAAGAAAGTCTGCCTGCCAGTCTTAGACTGGGGCTCATCAGTGTTCATATTCCTAGCTTTGTAATACTACTCCCTGATATTTCCTCTTCCCTAGCTGTGATAAGCTCTCTCCTGGACACATCCCTTCACTTTCTTAGAGCATCATTCCAATCCCTACTTTGTCACCACCTGTCACTGCCAAGTTTTCTGAGGATTATAATCAAGCTGGGAAAGATTTGCTATATTTTGGTAACCAGTAATTTCTCCCTTCAAGCACCCCCATTAACACTTACGGTTAATCATAAGATAACAAGAAACAAAGCTGGCTATGGTGCTGCACCCTGGCAGATGCAGGTTGCTGTTCGCTCTGTTATAACTTATTTCTGAATATAACAAATATTGAGGAAATAACACTCAGCCTTCTCCAACTCCTGATGGGTAAAATGTTTCTAGCTGCATATTCATGTTAGGAATGAAAAATATGTAATGTGAATCCTATGTATCTAGGGATATCTAGCTCACGAGTGGCCAACCTAAACCTGAGAAGGAGCCACAATGCACATTGACAAAGAGCAACAGTTCTACGTCATCAGCCCATATCATCTCCCCACCACCACTCTCAGCACCTCCCGCCCGCTGGCAGCCACACCGGTCAGCGCCTCCTTCTTCTTTTCCTCCTGCCCACTGTGATCAGCTCTTTCTTAGTGGGAGACACTGGAGGGGGGAAGTATGGGTATAACAGGCTCAGTTGAGAGGGTAGGAAGTGGCAGGATCCTAGGAGGAAAGGGTAGAGGGGGACAGCGCCTAGGGCAGAGTGGGGGTTGAACAGTGAGCACCCTCCAGCCCAGTGGAAAGTTTGCACCTGTAGCTCCAGCCCTGGATTTGGTACTTATGTAAAGAGCCACATATTAACTTCTGAAGAGCCACATGTGGCTCTGGAGCCACAGGTTGGCCACCCCGATCTAGCTCTTGAGGTCATTCAAGCAACAATATTAAAACACAGCCATCTTTAAGAAACAACACCTGCTTTTACAATATAAAATAAGCCTCAAAATATCAATGAGCAAATATGCTATTAATGTCCATGTGTACAAATGTATTTATCTGACAACGGTTCTCTTAGTAAATTAAACATTTCTCCGTGGCTACGTCTAGACTGGCATGATTTTGCGGAAATGCTTTTAATGGAAAAGTTTTCCATTAAAAGCATTTTCGGAAAAGAGCGTCAAGATTGGCACGGACGCTTTTCCGCAAAAGCACTTTTTGCAGAAAAGCATCCGTGGCCAATCTAGACGTGCTTTTGCGCAAAACAAATCTCAGCTGTCTACACTGGCCCTTTTGTGCAAAAGTTTTGCGCAAAAGGGACTTTTGCCCAAACGAGAGCAGCATAGTATTTCCACAAAAAGCACTGATTTCTTACAGTAGGAAGTCAGTGCTTTTGCGGAAATTCAAGCGGCCAGTGTAGACAGCTGGCAAGTTTTTGCGGAAAAGCGGCTGATTTTCCGGAAAAACTGGCCAGTCTAGACACAGCCTATAAGTTTTCATCTTAAACCAACTGTTTAAAAGCGGCATTTTAATTCAAAGCCCAAAGTTTTAAATAATTTGAGGGAAGAAAAGAAAAAGTTTCAGTTAATACTCTGAGATCTAACTCACACATCCGTCTCTTTCATTCAACACCTCCATTCCTCCCCCCCCCCCCCCCCCCCCCTTTGCTGCATTTATTTAGAGGTATAAAACTACAAGAGGTGTCCACCTGAACTTTCTGGGTGCATCTGACAAATACTTTAAAAGTACAATTTAAAAAACCCTGCAACACTCTGTATTGTTATTCAACAACCAAGCAGCACTGGCATCACACAAGCTCTATTGTTTTTCTAACTGTCCCACCCTAGAAACAAAGTCTCTGGTATAAGATCACTTACCTCTAACATGAACCAGAAAAAAAACAAGACCCCAAAAAAGCGTCGTTCTCAGCCTTATCATGGTCTTCTTATTTATAGTTCACCCTTTGCTTCTCCACACACTGACAGCAACAAGTGTTGGTAACTACAGGGCCAAAGATTTCTCCTCTGGAGCTTTTTAAAGAAGTTGGCCAGATCAGAGAAGTCTATTTACACTATTACACTTAAAGATGGATGGCTCAGTGGACGAGAAGTCTCTTAAGAACCCAGCCACTTCCAAAGCCTTCAGTCCCAATGGCAGAGCAGTGAATATTATTACTCACTATCCATATAGGTCATATACCTACATGATACATGCTCCATGCCAAGAAACCTTTCAACTCAGGCCTGCAGCTAATGAGAAGGGAAAACAACCAGCCAATGAGGAGATAGGAACACAAGAACCAACATTCTCCCAACCCACCTCCTTCCCCAGGGCCAGGACACCCTGTTTTCAAATCTTGCTTTCATGATAGTTGGGTGTGGTGCTGCTGCAGCTGCATTAACTCACCACAGAAGAGAAACTTCCCGTACAACATAACCAGTAAACATTGCTTTCTTTTCGTGGAAATAAGAGAAATTTCCATGCCCACCTTTTGGATGCTAAGCAGTAACTATGGCATTTTGTCAAATTTCTAACCCGTGACTCAATAGTTAGAGGACAGAAAGTGCAAAGTAAGCACCAAAATTGCACAGACTACATATAATAGCAGTCACAACTTGCCTTTGCATTGTCTGCTGGGAGCTTTCGCACTTGCAAAATAAGCAAGCCTCTCTGTTTCAGATGTTTCAATTCAGTTCAGAAGATCAGTGTAACCTTGCTAGTTCACATTACTGCCTGACACAAACATTGCAAAAGATTTTGTGAATTACTGTACGCTACTAATCAAAAAAAGGGCAAATATTTTTTTTGGAAAAAAAAAATCTGATTGCTGGTGAGTAAATAAATAAATAAATAACAGGAAAGCAAGAGCACAGGGATCAGAAGCTTGGAACCTGACATAAGAGGACTGTCGGAGGCCTGAATCCAGATGGGATAGCAGGAGGAAGTCTCTACTAAATCCTACCCTTAGGCCACGTCTTCACTTGCTATTCTGGAGATCGATCTTCTGGTGTTCGTCTTAGCAGGTCTAGTTAAGATCCTCTAAATCTAACGCTGAGGGAGGCGGTCGGCACGGTCACAAAGAGTAAGGGAAGCTGATGGGAGCATTTGCTCCCATCAGCCTCCCTCTGTGAAGACTGCAAAGCTCGGCTTCAGGCAATCAGACTCCAGCTATACATTTTATATAGCTGGAGTTCTGTACCTTAACTGGACCTTCTAGGTCTAGTGTAGATCTGGCTTTACTTCCTTCCTTCCCCAGATTAAGCAGAGTACAAGGTGCAATTAGTGGAGTATGACAAGAAAATCCCAACATTTAAAGAGCAATTTTTAAGAGGATGGGAGGTTGCAGCACAGGAAGAGGTCTGTCTGTCAATGAAAAGTGGCTTGCAAAATAACTGCAAATTAAGGTAAAATTAGAAGCAATTAAAAAAAACTGGCTCTAGAGGCTAGTATCTGGGAATGATTCTGTGGAATCTTAGGTACTAAGGACAGATCCATAGATCCAAAGTTCTGGCTGAGGAGAAATAAGTTGCTGATTTAGAGCACAGTCACTGTGCTGAAAAAGGAGGAATCAGAGGGAGAGGGAACAGTAACAGTGTTGCAGAATGCTGGAGGAGAAATTGCAAAATGGAAAATGAGAGAAAAGAATACCATCGGAACCCAGAGGTCACTAAAAATACTGAAAGAGAAGAGACAGTTTGGTGAATGAAAATCTTGTTTAGTGGTTTGTCAAGGCTGAGGTCTGTGGCAAAGGGGAAAACAGGTAGGCTGGCACAAGGCTCCATCGAGTTACTAACAAGTTCACACATCAAATCCTGATGAATTTGAAGTCAACAATAGTTTTGCCATTGACTTCAACAAGGTCAGGTTTTCACTCTGAAGATTAATCCGGAATCTTCATGACATTCACCAAATATTTGATTGTGGAAAAGGCTACAGGTGAGTCAAAACTTGTACTCCAATATCACAAATTTTGATTATTGTAGACTTCTTGATGCTAACTTTAAAAAGGGGGGAGGGTAGGAACAGACGGATGAGATTATATTTAGAAGAGTAGAAATGCATGAGACAAGGATTATCATTTAAATTCACATTCAATTTTCAAATTCATGGAGATACCTGATCCACTTAGCCTTTATACAGTATAGTTGTTCTATCAATATTTGCAGCCAAGTTTGGTGATTTTAATAGTTAGTATATTTAGAAGAGCATCCAGAACTGCAGTTAAGTCTAGAATACTTTAGATTTAATTTTAATGAGTCGGTCAAAGTTGTCATTATTATTATTCCACTGCCACTTCAGTTACTCACAAGAGCATAGGGCTCCTTAAAAAAAAGGTGGCAGCATTAGCAGTCATCAAAAATCCCATGGCATATTTTGCAAAAGTACAGATATTTAATGTTTCCTGCAAGTTGATCTTTACTTCCTGTCCTCATATGTCCTGTGGTGGGGGTGTACACAAATGGTTGCATTTCAGGTTTGCTTGAGCGTTCAACAACTCACTGAAATCAAAGTTGGCTACAGATGCCCGCACCTTTGAAAAACCAGCCTACAGCTGTTCCTGTGATCCTGTTTCACTCATGAGAGGGTTACACTGAAATAGTACATGAAGATCCCATTAGAGTTAAAAGAGGAATTTATAAATAGTAAGATTAGTATCTTGCTATGTTCTGAAAATGGGAAGAAGAATGGAAGCTTTGGAAACTGAATTGAAGAAGTAACAAATAGCAAGTTAAATTTAAAATCATGTAAATTGATATTGAAACTGTTTTTGCTATTGTAAGCAGGGTCTGAATCAATGCTTCCATTGCAGCCAGCTGGAATGAGAAAGGAATCCTGGGTGTGGTTATGCTCACTCCTTTGCTTATCCCTATATGGCAGTGTTTCCCAATATTATTTGGCTGAGGAACCCATTTCAGCTTTTCAAAATTTCAAGGAACCCCTAGGTTTGTCAAGAAAAAAAGGGGGGGGGAAGCGGGGGAGGAGAGAGGGACCCACCAATTCATGAAATTCACATTCCTTCCCCAAGACACCCCCCCCCCCCATC